TAAATAAAAATAATAAATTAAATGTTAAAAATAATAATAAAGGGGAGAAAATTATAAAAATATGCTCTTTGTGGGAATATAAACTAATGCAGCCGCTCTGGGAGTCGGTCTGGAGGTTTCTCAACACTACATTACAAATAGATCCCCCACATCACCTAGCTATAGCACTATTGGACTCTTACCCAAAGGACTTCGTATCTTGTACATCCTTGTTCATTGTAGCTCTCAACACAGTAGCTAGGAAATGAAGTTAAACTAGATGTCCATCAACTGACAAATGGATAATGAAAATGTCGTAGATACACACATTGTAAAAATACACAGCTAAAGAAAATAACATCATGAAATTTGCAGGTAAATTGTCGGGCCTGGAAAAAATTATACTGAGATCACCTAGCCCCCAAAAGACATGTCACATGCTTTTCTCATGTGAGGGGCTGTTGGATAAGCTTGTCCTTCAAACTGGCAAGCAAATGGACAGATGCCTTCTTCTCTAGCTTCTCACCTGTTTGCTTCAACCTAATTGAACTACAAGACTCTCTGTAGGAAGGGAGGGGCAGAGGGAGACAGTCACTCCTCCCATCCAATCACTCAGCCTTAACTGCATGAGGGGGCGGGACTAAGGACAGACAGGGGAAGCCAGGGAGGAGGAGGGCAGGTACCATCTTGGATCACTGGCCGCAGGAAGAGGAAGACCCAAGGGTGCCCACACCTTTGTAAGTACTCCTCACTGCCATCATATGCTCTATTAGCAAGCCCAATAAATACTTTTATTCCCTAAACTGTAGTTCAGAGGAATATTTTCTCAGTTTGTCATAAGGACAGGGGTAGGGTGGGGGTCAGGGACAACACAGCGGGCCTGGAAGCTGAGAGCATGCCTCCCAGCAGTAGATTCAACCTAGTCCCCAAAAGACATGTCACATGTGAGGGACCTAGCTTCAACTTCTTTGTTTTGTGTGTTTAACATGATTTATATTTGGGGACTAGAAACAGGCCATCGATGGGGGCGGGTGCATTGAGGGAGGTGCGATACTTAAATATGTGTGAAATGAAAGTAAATGGACTATTGTGGAAAGAAGGGTTCATGTAGCGGATGTTATAGGACAGAGTTCGTAAAAAATCACCAACACCACTTTAAGAAAAGTAACAAGGTAAATTTTAATTTTCGACCGGCCGGGCTGTCTATCTCGGGAGTAGAAGCAGCCCTGATGGTCGTCAGGTCAGAGTTTTTATAGGGTTACAGAATTATTATTAAAACAGGACATTTGTGAACCAATCAGGTTTGTACAACATAGCAGAATTTTGACTCTATTAATCAACAACCAATCATTATACAGACAAGTGATACAGTCATATAACTTGGCACTCAACTTTGTGACCTTAAAACTAGCCAACTGTTTTAGCCATAATAAGTATAATAAGACAGTCAAGGTAAATGACTTCTAGGTGGTCATACAATAACAGGATAACAAGGGTGGTCTTGTGCCCTGTGTCAAGATGACCCAAAATAGCAAGCGGATTACAGAAGCGAAAACAAGCTGGTTAGTCAGATGTATAATGTCTGGAATTATCACATTCCATGATTCATGGCGAGGGCAATTTCCCAAGGCCCAAGGTTGCCCCCCTTTTCCTTTCGGTGTGGAGCAGAGTTGCTGCTGAAATGGCGCTGAACAAAATGGAGTAACTTAGGGAAGTTCGCTGAGCCAGTTCAGTGGAGTGTTGGTGATGGAAAATGAGGACCCAGGGGAAGCCTTGACCAAACTGAACTATGCCTGAAGAAGCTACTTGAGAAACTATGATCTGTTGATCCAAGTAGAGGATACAGTAAAAACAGAATAGAGCACATGTGGTATGAAAATGTGGTGCGGGAGGGAATGCTGTGTGCTAAAGGCTCAACTGTGGACTGCAACAGAGGGGTTGGGGAGAGGAGGGGTAAGGACTGGGTTCACCAAAACAGCACATATGAAGAACTTTATGAATCCACATTAATTTGTAAAAAAAATGAAATACATTTCTAAAAAACGAAATTTGAACAGAATTAGTCCTCATTAGTGAACAGTGCTGCTCCCACAAGAGATGGATCATTAAATGAAAACTTAGTGCCAGGCACAGGGCTCCCCCCTATAAGGAACTGGTCAGAGAGGCCCCAGAGGGACCCAGAACCACCCAGGCTTTTGCACTGTTCTTGGTTTCCCACTACAGCAACATCAGGTAACACAATACTGTTAACACAACATGCACTTTGTTTGACAAGAAAAATCGATCTTGAGCTGACCAGACATCTCTGCCTGCTGGCTTGCTTTCATAGTGCTGGAGGGTAATATGCGCTCTGATGGGGTGGGGCATGCCACGGGAGATATGGCAAAGACACCAGTGCTCTCATGTAGGGCTAGAGCTTGCATTCAACAATACCAACCTGTGCCCAACGGTGCAATAGTGCCAAGGCTATTTATGGCAACAAGGAACCGCTTTGGGGATTGGATTTGAGGGCTGCACCACAGCAGGGAATTCATTCCTGGTGCTATAAGTACTGTTAAAATCCATGGATGAAGCTGAATCTTTCTAGTAGGATACAGCGTACTTTGTACTTTGGGAATATGCCCAGGAGTGGTATAGCTGGATCGTACAGTAGATCTATTTGCAGCTTTTTGAGGAAACTACGCACCGATTTCCACAGTGGCTGTACAAGGTTGAATAACAGCTGTGACTAAGTGTTCCTGTTTTCCCGCATCCAAACCAATATTTACAGAACTTGATGGTAGGACCTTATTTTGGGGGCCACCATGTAATTGAGTCATAGGAAATGGAGACTTCAAGGTGGAGCCTAACTGGAAGCTTCATCCATTCTAGCTAGTTTTCCCAGTGCCAGAGGTGTTATGCACACTGCTGGGGGAGAAAAGCAATCAATACTCTTATCCATCTTTGGACCCTACACTTTGAAGTGATGTTGGATCTGGAAAGGTATACCAGTGCAATAGTCATGCACTGTGGTGTCAATGTGCAGTAGTGATATGGTCAGTGTCATGGACGCAAGCAACCACTTTCTGATCAGATTTAAGGCCCAGTCCACCAGTCAGAACTCATGCTTGTGCTCTGGATAGATCATATCTGTAGGGAAGATCTTAATATTATTATTCTGCTAAATAGACATAGAACTAAACTGTCAGCTAAGTTCTTATCTTTATACCCATAGATTAGTGTATCTCTCAGACTGCATCACTGAATATTCTTTTTGCAGTAGATGGTGATCAAAATAGAGACACACACTGGTCATTATGCAGAGAGAACAGAAGGCTTAAGAGAGCTCAGCTCTGAATATTACACCCCCTCCCTTGATGCTCAGGGATCATTGTGGAACGTGGAACAGAAAGATGGGACTAAGGGAGTCAGTTTTTAGTTTTAAGGAAGAGACACAGTACACCAAAAAACGCCTCCCGAAAGGAAACACTTAAAGGATGCTTTGCAGGAATGTATTGTTGGGAGCATCTCAGAAGCACTAAAGACAGAAGAGGGCTTAGCATTTGTTTCCTTGGAACATTCTGCACTTCAGGACCTTGAAGTAAGTGTCCACATATTTAAGATCTCTGCGCAGGCAGCGGATCAGTTTATAACAAGCAAGAATGCATTTCTCTTCATTGGGTGATAGCAAGTCTGCCAGTCCGAACCAGGCTGGGTATTGATCATCTTGTTTATATCCACTCATAACCTAATCAGGAAAAGGATAGTTAGTCAAGTACGAATTCTAGTTCAGGATTTCTTGGTGCACACCCATTCTAAATGTTGAGTGAAGATTTGTGAAAGTTAGAACTGTAAAATTTGGGAAACACTCATTTTTATGGATGTGGGGCCAAGGGACCTAAAAGGTGAAATTTTCTGGCATGCATTTTAGGCTCCATAAAGGACTTTCAGGAAGCTAACTGACATTAGACATGGAGCAGAACAATGCTCTTTGAAAAAATAACAAAGAGTTAGTGTCCATTATTCCACTTAAAGAATTTTACAAGACCCGTATGGTCCACAATTTATATATCTCCTAAACTGTAGATGAAATGAGGATTTCTCGATGGTTTAAAATGCAAATCATGACGGGATCACTGTGCTAAGATCTGCTGATGTAGTCAGGTATCCCCCACCCCCCTCTCTCCAGGAAAGGTCCTGTCCTAATTGAAGTGAAGAACAGCTATTTACTTCTGAGATCCCAGGCAGGGGAGGTTCTGAGGAAAGCATCTTTCAGAGGTTGGAGTTGCCTGCACCCCAGAATAGTGAAGCTTTGACGTATTTAGATGCTCAGATTTCTTTCTTACAATGTAAAGTATTTCGAAGCTCAATTTTCATTGTCCTGGTCACCTTGTTTATGTAAGAGAAAAGTAAATTAGCATAAACAGACTAATCACCTTGTAGAGCATTTTATGAACACCTTCCAGTAGTCCATCGATTTTTTCAATAATCTCTCTGGCTTTGTGGACAACAGAAGTGGGGGCTCCTCGCATGGTAGACATTTTATTCACTAGATGGTACAGAGGGTTACTCCAGGCTCTCGATAGACTGGCCACCAGTTTCAGGAGATCAACAGGCTATGAAGCCATAATTGAACAAGCACATTAAAACAAATGAAATGCAGCAGGGTTAGATACAGGCAGCTTTTGCTCAAAGAGGTTGAAGTAACATTCTCCTTCACTGTTCACATGCGTATTTAAAACGTTCTTTTGTATATTATATAAATTGTAGAAGTGTAAGATGTCATCACTGACCTTGTGTTATAGAATTTTTAGAGGGTATTAAATTCAGAAATGTAATCACGCTATGAAGTATCTATCAAAGTGTATGTGTGTGCGTGTGTGTGTGTTTTGTATAGCAAATGCTGCTTAGAGTGAGATTTGTTGGAAGCAACAGATTATCCCGTTTGTGCTGCAAGCAATAGATGGGATTAAATTGATAACATCTGTTTGTGGTTGAATGCGTGCTATCCTCAGTCAATAGGGGTCAGGAGGGACATAATCTGATAGGACAGTTCTTTTCTTTCCCCATTTCATGCTGGATATACTGTTTCAGTAAAAGAGAGAGGAAAGCCCTTGTTTGAGAATACAGTTCTAAGAGAATTCTGTTTGTTTTTGTGTTTTTGAGACAGGGTCTCCCTGTAGTCCCAGTTGGCCAGGCTGGCCTTGAACTCACAGAGATCTGCCTGTCTCTGCCTCCCAAGTGGTGGGATTAAAGGCGTGTGCCACCACACCCGGCCCAAAATATCTATCAAAGTTCTAACTAATCAAATGTCCTCTCTCGATTTAACTCCATTTTTTTTCATTTTTCTTCATTATATCATAATTATTTAAATACAGACTGTAGGCACAGAAGGGCCCGTACCATTAAGCAAAGCATGGAGGATAGATTATAAACATGGGGATGTGTAAAGATACACAATACTGTTGGATTTAAATAATCTTCGGATGCTTTATGACAGGTAATCAGAAGCGTAGAGGTGTTAACAATTATGTTAGAAATGGCATGATATGTAGACTTGTCGTTACAGAGAGGGGAGAGTTGCATGTTGGGAACACCACAGTGTTTCTCAGTCTCCTGTTTTAGTTGACTTTCCAATATGACACAGACGAATGCAGATCAGAAGTAAATGTTTAAGAAACAGAATCAAAAGTAGAAACGTGAGCAGTATTCTGATACTATGCCAGTACAGGACCCATGAGTCATGTATGACATAAGTACAACCGTACTAGCATCACATGTGCCTATATTAATGCATTTTTAACCATGAATATTAATGACAGTTTATATTTTCTTGAAGAGCACTATGTACAACTCCAGGATTAGACACTGATGAAAGGGCCCTCTCCATAGTCAATTTATGCATCTGTTAAAATATCACTGGGCAGATTTCACTTATAATTTATCAACGATATGATGTAATTTTTTTGTGGTGCAGTCTTCCTCCATTTTCCTGCATATGTAATGATCGTGTCTAGAATAGTATATGTGAAACTTTACACTGTGGTAAAGCCAGTTTACTGCTTCAATAATTTTGGTTAAAACTAAACCAACCAACCAAACAAACAAAAAAACAAAAAAACCAAAGAAACAAAAAAAAAACAAAAAAACACCACATGTGGGTACTCACATGGGTCTGCAGGGCTTGTTTCTTATTTTCCGGAGTAGACAGGGAGGAAGTGTGGCACATTCTTAATCCACCAAGGCGTCCCCGGCCATGGGCGTACTGCGCATCCTGGAAATGGTGCAATAATCGATTACATTGGCACTGGAAATTGTGTAAATGAATCAATGATCAGAATACTAATATATTTGCTGGATACTGAATTTTAAAAACAAGTACTAAAATTTGAAATTAATATATTAAGAAATTGAGCACTTTACATTTTGAAAACTTAATCCATAATCTCATTTTATATTTATCTTACTTCAAAATCTCCCAAATTCCTGTTAGTGTTCTCAGCCTTCATGTAAGATAACATTTGAAAACAGACAGCCAAACCCAACAGAACTCTAGAACGTCAAGTGTTTTTGACTATTGTTTGCTAAAAACGTCATAGCATTTGACTTTTCTTGCTAATACCTCCATGTCTATACAACTGTCCCTTGCCTACATCATTATAATTCAGATTGCTATTGTGTTGATTGTGAGAAAACAAATATTAAACCCTGTGTGTGATATAATAGAAAATAATAAGCCATAAGCCAAATAAAACAGAAAATTATTTTGGATTTAAACACTAATCCGTACCTACTTATTTATTATATTACTACTATATACCTATTATTTTTAATATTTAAAACTAATATTGGTGAAATTTTTGGTAGTTAGAAAATACTTTTAGAATGATTTCAGATACGCTAGGTGACCTATCAAGAAATGGAACTGAGGGCCTGGAAAGGCGGCTCAGTGGTTAAAAGCACTGGCTACTCTTACAGAGGACCTGGATTCAGTGCTCAGCACTCACATTGTGGCTAACAACCATCTGTTCCAGAGGATCCAAAGCCCTCCTCTGACCTCACTGGGTATTGCAGGACATGGGTACACTTACATACATGCAGGCAATACACTCACATGCCCATTGATGTCCGGAAGTCATCAAAGCAATGACTTCATTGGCTGGAATAGAGAGGAACATGGAACTCCGAAGTGCCTTTTCCTGAAGACAAGACGTGTTTCCTTGTCTACACTGGATGATTTGTCTATACCCTTTCTCCTTGTTATTAAGTCATATATATTTTTTAGAGTAATTCATAAGATTTGGGAATCTGAAGTGTACTTAGGAATTTTCTTGCCCCTCCTGGCCTGGTCTCAGTATCTGTAACTCTAGCTAAATGCCTGCAATTCATTAGTTTCCCATGACTAAATCTTTAGTGTCCAAAGTGAATGACCCACAAAATAAAGGAAATGCAAATCAAACCTTCCCTCAACCATGTGTCTCAGGGATTTATGTCACAATAGTGAATTAAAATGGAAAATAAAAATAGAGAAAAAAGTTAGTTTAATCATAGAAAATATTTGATTCTTCATGAAACTGTCCCATTTTTGTTTCCAGTTTAATAGCTGTGCTTTCCTCTCTTAGTGAAGGTATATTGTTTGAAATTTGGACCATGACACATTCTCCTCTGGACTGTAGCACATCCTTCCGCTGGCATGAAGGCCCCTTTTGGTAAGAAGCCGGAAGTCAGTGGGGGTACTTACAAATTCAGAAAACATTCCTGCGGCTTGGCTGCTGATGTGCTGAGTCACGTTGACTGCCCGGTCACACAGCTCCGCCAAGGTCACGAAGCAGTGGCCTTTCTTCATTGCACACATGGGTGTCGAGGCCACATTCTCCCAGAGGAGAAGGGTGGACGCCAGCCACAGGAGCAGCTTTCCTGCTAAAGAACGAGAGGAGCCGCTCTGAGCTCCATTCTCCTGAGATGGTCAAGAGTTACCCTGTCAATGGAAGCTTCATCTGTTCACAGTAGTGTCCTTTGAATAAATTGGTATTTTAGCTCGATGGGTCAATAAAGACCTTCCAATGGGGAAATTAAGTTAGAATTATATTTTCTCAAATTCATCTTTTTAAAGATGAGTGTCTTCTTGGATAGTTTAATGTCTTGTGGTTTCCTGCTGATTTTCAACAATAAGACAATCATGACTTTTATGACTTAAATGTTTTTGTGTATTCCTTTATTTTCTTTTAGGTGTAACAGTGTTTTGCCTGAATGTATGAGTGTGTATCACATGTAAGCCTGCTGCTTACAGAGGCCAGAAGATGATGTTGAATCTCCTGGAGCTGGAGTTACAGACAGCTGTGACATGTCCTGAGCAAACCCAGGTCCTGTGCAAGATCAGCAAGTCCTCTTAACTCCACATACATCTCTCCAGCCCCTAATTTGTGACTTTTAACTCAATGTCTAATATTTTGGACACCAATGTGACAAGCACAGCTTTGTTCATGAATGTACTTTACATGCCTATAAGAATAAACGTGATTGCTTGTTTATTAATACCAGGATGAAGTGAACGTACATTTCTTCCTTTGCTGAAAACTTCAGACTTTTCTCTGAATTTAATGCTCACGATAACCCTGAGTAGTGAGTAGTCATACCCTTCCTAACTATCATTAAACCAGGAGTGAAACTGATGGCTTGTGTGACTTCTCATGTTCATGATTATTGGTATTTTGAGGAGGCAACATGGCAACACTGGGTGCCACACCCCTCGCCCAGGCCGCTCCCTTGTCAGACTTTGCTCCATTACCTGTAAGAACTTCACATTGTCCATGATATGACCACGAGTTCTGGGAATTTGATTTTTACCATTTTCTTTGCTTTTTATAACAGTTTTGAAATGTTGTCAGTGATCAGTACTGGTTACCTCATTAATTTACTTTTCACAGATGGACAAACAACGTCTTAATATGTCAACAAATTAAAACCTCAACAGAATGAATCAGCATGTATGTAATAAATTACGTTTGTTTACCTTTCGTGACTCTAGTCTGGAGAATCTTCTGTTCCATAGAGCCCATAATAAATATAATTGGAAATGTGCAACAGAGTATTAGGACTTGGTAAAATGTATTCATGAAATTCAATACTATATTCAATATTCAAAGTAACTAAAAATATGGGAGTACTCTGTAGCATACAATATAATTATGAATCTTTTAGAAACAAAATTAAAAATAATTCTAGGTAATTCCTGTTGTTGAAGGCAATTTCTCAAAACTCATAATGTTTTTCAAAATTTATTTTCTACATGATAGATATGTATCTGTAAAATAAACACCTTTATGAAGGATTTTTCTCAGTATCAGAGGAGTGCAGGGAAACAGCTACTTTTGTTGCGTCATTGTTCAAAACTCAGTTTATGGTTGTCAGGAAGTCATTTCACTGGGAAATAGCATCAAGAAAATTAAGACAAATATTAGCGCTAGTGTCCTATTCTTTCAAAGGATATTTTTCTTGAATGAAGTTGTCAAAGATGCACTGTCCACATCTGCCAGACGTGTTGACTGTCCCCAGAGCTGAAACTATGAGAAAGTTCATTCAAATCAAACCACTCATAGCAGAGGCCCAGGAAATGGATCTCAGCCCTTCGCTCCAGCTGCAGTTCTTGGAAATCTGTCCCGGGCACTCCCGTGGTCTCAGTCCAGGCAAACGTCTCAATTTCTGCAATTTTGACTTTTTGAAATGGATCGTTCCATGTTCTGGAGCTCTCCTGGTCATTTGAGGTTGTGTAGACACACATTCCTATTTATCATCTTAGCTCAATTAAAGCAGACAATACAGATTGTCTCTAGATACTGCTACCTGTCTCCAGTGAGAGACTCCTCTGCTTTCAGAATCACCAATCCAAGCTGCACTGGGTATTTGCTTTCTAGAGCAATGATCAGAAATTAATTCCAAGCTCTACCTAACTTCACTTTCCTGGGTTATCCTGGGTTAGGCATGAGCAAATGTCCATTCACTCCATACATAAGAACAAACAAACAAACAAAATGCATAAATGTAAACTGTCAAAACCAGCTTTGCAAAATCATGCAATGTTTAAGCTCGCTTGGAAGAAACTGTAGAATTACTTACAGGAGCACGGTTGAGTCCAAGCTAGCTGCATCTCCAGAGTCTCCCACACTTGGAGTGTAAGAAAGCTGTTTTACTGCACTGCTGCGGTCAGCTTTCTACCTCCTATATAGTGCAGCACACCATCCTCAAGGCCACACACTGCTAGGGGGCAAGAGGAAGTAATGTCTGGAATCCGAGTATTCCATGACTGTTCCGGTGCACGGGTGTTACAGTCTTCTTACCAGGATCATTTACCTAAGTATATCTGCATTATTTAACTTATTTTAAGTTTGTGACTATGGTCCAAATCATGTCGTGAATCACCCCCAGCAAACACTGATCCATGAAGACTGCTGTTAATTTCATGCCCTTGGAAAATGCGTGTCACAGACTTTTACACACTTATTCATTTTCTTACATATTTCTGTCACTACTTCTAAAATGTTCAGGAAAGTTTAGATCAGTCAATATGTCGAATTCGTTGTTTTCTGAGCATTGGCACCCAAGGCCAAGTCAGTCACATGCTCTAAGCAATTTAAACTTTTTGATTCTTTACCAAGATCCATGGAACACTGTACCTTACTGGCCTCTGGACTCTAAGCACATAAGCGCAGTAATGTAGGATGCAAATACAGGTGTTTAGAGGGCTTTTCAGCAGACAAATCACATTCATTTTAGAAAACTGTGTAAGAAAACTTCTTGTTGAATCTTACAGGATCCTCATTAATGGAATTTCATTCAGACTAACATTAACAAACACAGGTTCTGTACGTGGAACTCGGCTTAACTCCAATCCAAACATATTTAGCTGCACCGTAACCATTGTCTCAGTGTGGAATACATCAATACATCTAGCTTGGCTCCATAATTTCCTTGATTTTGTTTGAGCAGATCCCTGAGTGACATTTTCCAGCAATAGCCAGCCTAGTGACATCTGCTATTATGAAAGGCAGCACTGTGGGATCTCTCACCTTTGACCCAGTCAGATACCTCCTCACCATGCAACCTGAATACATGGCATCTCATTCCATGGTCTCTGGCATTTGGTAAGTTTGTATCCAATCCATTGACAGGAATCCATGTTATATGGATGGATGACAAGTGGGACATCACTACTGAACAGCTCATAGGAAGCTAACCTGGCCTTGGGATAGTTCACTAACTTAGTGGTTTTATGTTCTCTCATTCCACACATGCCTGGCACTTACTTTTAAGTTGTTAACTGCTGTCTTTGCTTTTCTTTAGATGGTTTTCTACTTTGCACAACACTAGATGTTATCTTCCTTAAATATTTTACTTATTATTTTTATTTCATGTCTGAATGTATCACCTGCAGTGTGTAAGTGTACCCATGTCGTGCAATACCCATGGAGTTCAGAAGAGGGTGTCGGTTCCCCTGGAACTGGAATTACAGGTGGTTGTTAGGTGCTGTGCAGGTGCTGAGGATCAAATCCGCGTCCTCTGCAAGAGCAGTCAGTGCTCTTAACCACTGAGCCATCTCTAGTCCCTAGATGTTATCTTTATACGTAGTTGAACATTAGAATCATTCCAGGTCCGGTTTTCTCTTCTGCAAGCAATTTAACTTAGATGGAATTCAGAATTCACTGGAATCATTAACACAAAGAAAAATCCTTAGTAATACATTGTAATAAATAATGAAATAATCTCATTGGCTCACTTATTTTCTCCAAAAAGCAATGTTGCATAGAGTAAGGTGTACTCCAGGAACTAAATGATTTAGCCAAGAGTAGCACCACTGTTATGTTTAGTATTCCCTGTCAGCTCTAAAGGACCAATGATCACCTAGAAAGCTGTGAAGAAAGGGGAGAGAGGATGCTCTATCTCAAGCTTGCCACAGAATTTCACAATACTGTATGTGTGTCATGGCTTTGTAGGCATGAAAGATTCAAGAGTAAGGGGCTCCTTGAGGTTTGCCTCAAGGTTCTAGAGTCTACGACAAGTCGATGTGAAGCTTATTGTCCCTACAAGGATGTCCTGAAAGCACACTGTGTGAAACAGTGATGGAGTCTGCATTGCAGTAGGGACCCCAATGTGTTTGCAAAGACAATAGTATTTTCCTCTAGTGAAAGTTGCAGACCTGGAGTGGACGTAGAATGAAGAGAGGCGATGTAATGTGGGCACCAGAGCTGAAGGAGCTGTTTGTTACACAAATCTTTTACAACCAGTGTGAGTCCATCCTGAGCCCCAGACTCCAGCAAACTTGCTGCTTTCCCTGCTTGGATTCAGTCTGGCTTTGCTGGGATCATCTCTGATAGACCCCACACTTCTGTTTCCGAGTAGGCATGCTTTCTTTCCCTCCATGTATATTACAATAATGTATCTGAGCTTGAAGATGGCCATGTGGTTAGAAGAAACTGGAACTTTTAAACTACGTGGAGTCTGTGGAAGACTATGGAGACTCAGTAACAGACTCAGGGAAGTATGGTTGTGATCAGCATATGAGCTTACAGGGAAAGGAACAGGAAGCTATGGATTAAAATGGTATGATATTGTGTTATGTTGACTGTGGTTAGACTGGTGAGAGTTCATATAGATGACATGACATAGTATAGAATCACCTAGGAGACAAAACTCTGGGCTCTTCCAGGAGAGGCATTCTGTATCTGGCTCCTTTAAGGAAGAACACTCACCTTGAATGTGGATAGTATTCCTTGGGCTATGTGTCATACTGAATTACTAGGGCAAAGGTTAATAGAGCACTATGTTGATCACTGTCCTGTTGATCCTGATTGTGGAAATAACTTGATCATCTACTTTACCTCCCCTGCCGTGATGTACCATGTTCCACAATATATTCTTTCACACTAAAGTTGCTTTTAGAAGGTGTTTGATCATGCCAGTGAAAAACGGAATTTGCACAAATGTCATTACCCATGAGTCATTAGTTATCATCTTGAGGCACTTCCATAGGGCCACTGAGCTACCTCGGCAGAGCGAATTGCTTGTGCTGGTGAGGGGTAAATAGCGGACTGGCTCATTCTCGTTTTCAGAATGTTCCCATATCACCTGGCTTCCTGTACATGAATGGCTGCAGGCTGGCCCTGTGGCTACATCCTCTTCATCTTGCGTACCTTTCCGCTTGAAGAAGAGCCCAGAGCTGCATGAATAATGTCCACTTCCTCGTATTCTCCATGAACACATATGTTTGATTTAGTTTCATGTTCTCATATGGCCATGTGGATTCTGGTATATACCATGTGTCCTACCAGGACACATGTTTAGTATCTTTCTTTTTAAAATTTACACTGTACATTATTTTTGCTAGACCTATTTACTTGGTCCTAGCTTAAGCAAAATGCATTTTCTCTTAATGTTGCTATCCATAGCTACATCCTGCTGCTTACTTTCTGATAAATTCCAAGTGGTCATGAATTTATGGTCAATTAAGTGAACATTTACCAAAAGTGAAGCATTCAGCGTATTCTTAGGGGATCAATATGTCTGTAATGTAGCAATGGAACTCTAGCCAGCACTGTTCTGTGCCCACATATCCAGGAAATACTAGTCATTCCACAGATGAAATGCCTGTATTGATTATCATCTAATAACATCTCCTTTATCATAGCAGCAGATTACTGCTAACACCTGTACCTTTCCCTGTCTTCAGTGATCTGTGTGTTTGTTCCACATTACAGTTGTCCAGAAACACTTGTGCCACATCTGGCCCTCTGTCAAACTTTTGATACAAAATACTTGAAGCCATCCCATATTCCCTCAAGTGCTTCTTTCTGTGACCAACCTTATTTATACTTATTCATCCCTTATAAGTGACTTAGCATTTCCAAAGCCCAATTTTCACTCAATGCCCCAGTACTCAGGTTCATCAAACGAATCCTGTTCTAGCAACTCCCTATTTCTCTCAAACTGTTATCATGTTAGTGTTCACAATGCTAGTGCTTTTACCAGGTACAGAGCATCTAGAGACTGATACCTAATTCTGGGTAAATCCAGAACTGTTTCCCACTGTCTCCTTACAAAAAGAATGATCCTAGTTAGGGAATGGCTTTAATGGGAAAAACTCTTTGTAACAAGCCTTTACAAACTGAAATTTTTTATAATTTTGCAAACCAAGTTAATCATGTTTCAAGAACATTTAGAACCATGTACTCCTTCTAAGAAAAGCAGTGTAATCAAGGCCTACTATGACTTGGAGTACAGGCATAACCAATTCTTACAAGCTAAGCTGAATGCATACCTTACTCTTATACCATGTTCTCTGCTTGTGACTCAGTTATAGCCCTGAATGCATGTGAGATGTGACAATGACGACCTTAAAACAACAAAGACATTGCAAACAATGTCTCTCCCACAGATCTCACAAACTACATGGGGTCATAGATGAATGATGTCTGTCTGTGGCTGTATGTGTTGTTCTAAGTCATTAGGATCAGAAAAGCCAAGGTCTTTTGTTGTAAAACCATTACCAAAGTTTGTTCATAGCATGTTTCTATGCTGTTCAATAAATATGAGAGGACCCCTGTGGTGGTTTGCATGAAAATGCCCCCTCCCCCATAGGCTTAAAGTATTTGTATATTTTTGTCCCTAGTTGGTGGCACTGTTTTGGGAGGTCTTAGAAGGTGTGGCCATCCTGGAGGAATCACATCACTGTCACTGAGAGTGGGCTTAGAGAGTTCTTAAGCCTTGCTGGATCCCCAGTTGCTCTCTGCTTCCTGTGCCTGCTTGAAGATGTTGTGCTCCTCTTTCTGCTCCGGCCACCCCTGCCACCGTGTCTCCCCAGATGGTGAATTATAATTCCCTAGGAACCGTAAGCTCAAATAAATTCTTCCCTTTGTAATTTCTTTGGTCACTGTTTTATCACAGCAAGAGAGGAGTAACAAATGCAAGCCCTTTGTGAGATGGTAAAGTAGAACAGAACAGAACAACAGGACAGGACAGAACAGGACAGGACAGGACAGGACAAGACAGGACAGGACAGGACAGGACAGGACAGGACAGACCAGGATAGGACAGAACAGGACAGGACAGGACAGACCAGGATAGGACAGGACAGGACAAGGACAGGACAGGACA